AATTTTTTTCTATAGCATTGTGTGACAAACAAGCACACAGTCCACCTTATGGTAAGTGGATGCTGTGACCCAAACACATTCACACTTATCCTCAATTAAGAATCAAAATGTAAATGCATTATCACCCTTAAGGACTAAGCCTCAATTCAGATTCAAGTAAAAAGGATCTCCAGTTCTCTACACTCACAATACAAAAACGCAATAGCATTACACTGCTATTTTACGTTGGTATTTTGTGAGAGTGTGGTCCTGCCCAGGTCGAGCTGACCCATTCGTGCTACAACTACAATATAGCTACAGCATGGCTCTACCATGTAAATATAATATTATACATACCAACTGCAGCTGCTCCTCCTTAGCTATCTGTTTTTTCAGACCTGGGATTTCATAGTTAATGTATCTTACAAGCATCTGTGCTGCTTCTGCTAAGTATAAGTTTTCTTTTTCATAGTTCTTTGCTATATCTTGCCAGTCCTTCATCCTCTGAGAACCATATCTTCCAAACAAATTCTTTGTATCTGCTTCAGTTTCCTTAAGGATCTCGATGATTTTAAGACAGTGAAAATAGTTAATATAGCTCCCAGACAATAGCTCTGCAATATCATTATGAACTGGCATATCCTGTATAGCATTATTAATTTTCTCCCGCACTGCTATAACACTTTTCTGCCATTCCTTGTTAACATGACGACGACTAACAAGCCAGTCCTGCAGCTTGCCTATATTAATATCTATGGGTATATTGCTCTCCTAAAATAAATTGTAAATAAGAATTATTTTTATTGGAACATGATACATATATTATGTATACTTATTCACCAAAAGTGGAAGACATTGGGTACTGCGATTAATATATACTACAGCGCTTTCAATTCAAAACATAAACTATATCACAGCTGTGGATCATGTGGGCATGGGTGGGTAGCTAGTATGGTTAGGGTTGCCATCTGTATTATAATATATATTATTGTACTATATTTCAGTAAATTATACTGTATATTATAGAAAAATAATACAGTACAAAAAATACTATATTTTTGTCCTTAATTCAACTGTCGCTTTTTATATTAACTGTGATTGGAAGTATGAAACAAGTATGTTTTACAGAAGTAATTTTTTGTCATCATGAATGTAAAATTGAAAAAAGAAAGAAAAAGAGCATGTATTAATTTAATTAAAAATTATTTTACTATTTATTTTAATAGGAATCTAAATTATTTAGACTCCTATAATTATTTTAAAAGTAAGGTAAGGTGGTTAGATCATTGATGGCCAAAGCAAAGAGTAATAACAAATATATATGAAAAAATACATTAATATTGGTATTGAGTACATACAAACATAAAGATTAAAAATAAATATTATGTATTTTTTCTCTCCAGAATTTCTCAAAAGTGCTATATTTTTGCATCACTTTTGGAAAAAAAAGGTGGCAACTGCATGGTAAATATTCTGCATAGTTGTATTTTCATTTACAATAGTTATCGTTTTTAGGCAAATATGAAATAAAGTTACACACTTGTATGAAATAAACTTCAAATAAAGTTGACAAAAGTACACACATGAATAATTACAGCATTTTCTTAATCACATTTAACAAAATCAGTGTTATATTGTCGAAAACAACGTTGGCGGTTTACATCACAAAGAACAAGTCTTCTCGTCTGCTAGAAGTCGATTAAAGTAGGCCATAACTTAGTACCCAATGTATTAGTGCGCAGAGCCAGTCTGGTAATACTACACAATATACATAGAAATCTTTGCCTTTCTAGCGTGGCGTTTAAGCGGGCTACATACGAGACAATATTGGTGGCGATCTAGGGTGGAAAGAAATCGGGGCTTTTATCGAGGCAGACCCTACACACGGGCCTGCCTAGCAGTACGCGTTTGGACTTGGAGCGGAACGCATATGCGGTATAGTTCTTCAAAATGCCTCTGACTCTCTTAAAACACCAACGTGTTGGTTTGGAATTAGCCCTCTCGGTTAATTTATTCGAAAATAGAAAAAGAGTTGCTGGGTGAAAAATGGCCCCAAAAGAGACAAAAATTAAGCCACATAAACATACTAAATGGTCTGTAATCCAGACATGATTAATTTTCTCCGGATAGATGAAGACAGTTTTTAAAACCTTCTAGAATTTTTCTATATTTATGATTTCGCAACTTATATAAAAACATCAATTTCTCCTACCTATGCTATTTAGTTATTTCATCGTTTTTTGTTAATTTCTGCTTTGGTCAAAATCGGGTTATGTACTACACACAACAAACAAAGAAATAACAAAATCGGGTTATGTACTACACACAATAAACAAAGATATACTTTTGTATAATAATATGTGTACTTTTTTAAATGTAATCTTTATTTATCTTTTTTTTACATACATACATAAACACTCACGCCTGTCACCCAGAGGGGTAGGCAGAGACTACAGACTTCCATTTGGCACGATCCTGACACACCTCTCTCGCCTCCTTCACATCCATACACCTACGCATGCATGCTCGTCGGTTAAGGGTACTCCTAATTTGGCCCGTTTTCAATAAATCGCCAATTTGGTCGATAAATTTTCGCCTAGGACGTCCCTTTCCGACTCTGCCATTCACTTCTGCAACATAAATTTTCTTTGTCACTCTTTCCTCATCCATTCTTTCCACATGACCAAACCACCGAAGCATTCCTTTCTTAATCCTGGTCACAACATCATCTTGCAAACCACACTCTTCTCTTATCACACAATCTTTTTTTTTAACATAAAGAAACCTTTAATTTCGGACATACTCCCTTCTATATAGCTTGTTTGTTGATGTGGAGATAGTGAAGGAGTAGGAGTTAGTTGTTGATGAGAGGATGAAGGCATGTAAGAGATCTGAGTGCGGTCTTGTGTTGATAGCGTTGGAATAGGAGTTAGTCGTTGAGGAGAGGCTTTATCTTCTCCTTACTTACTTCATACACCTACTTTATGAACGGCAATAAAACAATTAGTTTAGTAGGCATTCTTGACTTTGCTAGGTCACAGGCTAGGGTGGATATGATTTGAATTTCGATAGATTTTAATTAATTAGTTTATTCAATTTTTTTTTATTTTTTGTAAAATATCAGTGCCATAGGCTTCTACTCTGTTCACATGCTTATAATGTAAAAATTTTGTTATGTAAAAAAGGTCATTCAGTATCACTGTTTCGTTAACGTCCTTCCGCGAGGGCTGCTGGCAGCGACTGCCAAAAGAAATCGGGCCGATGCGCCTACACACAGTACGGAGGGGACGGGGCCCCGATCTAGGAAGCATCGGCTGCATTTTTGATCCTGCCAGCCGATTAAGGAGGCGATATCGGCCGCGACTTAGGATGGCCCTACATACGATACGATTTAGAGGCAATCTAGGAGGCATCCCCACTACTCCACCCTAGATCGCCACCGATATCATGTCGTATGTAGCCCGCTTTTACGTCCAATCCCTCCTACGACAGGAAAAGCAGCCTTATCTAGCAGTGGGCTTTTACAATCTGATGAAGAAGATACATCTTTAATTGAATACAGAAAATTTCAATATTATTAACATATAAAAGACACTTACATCCATTTTATACTTGTTTAAGATACAGGTACTTCTGTGAGGTAAACATAAAATTAGTAAACAAAAACCATACAGATTTAGCAAAGAAACATTTCACCAAACAGAAACACTCTGATCTGACGTGTCGACAAAAACAAACCTGTCGTCATGTCGTTGTCAAGTTGTCAAGTTTCAACCATAGACGTATATAAATTATATACGTCTATGGTTTCAACTCATTTTCAACCTGTGTTTTCAACTTATACCTTATGGAGGTTTGAGAACAGGAGAACGATCGCCGTATTATAGAAAATTGTGTCCTAGAAATATAGACACCATTAGTGAGGCACTGCGATCGCTAAGTTCGGTCAAAAAAGTCATTTTCAGTCTATTTTTCGGATCAGATGCTAAACCACTTGCACATCCACGCACAATAAAATATTTCTCCATTTTTTAATGTTTCTTTTTGTCAAAAATTAAAAAATTACAGAGCATGAAAATTTTCTCACCAATGCTGCGAAGAAAATTGGTACATTATTCAACTAACTTCATCTACTTGTACTCATAAACAGCTAACTTCGCAGCCACTACTCACCGACGGCAGCGCCGCTATAAATTCTACAAATTATCAAGGACAGGCGGGCTATGCTTTCGTACGTAGCGATCGTTCTCCTGTTCTCTAATCTCCATGTTGTAACTTGTCTTGTCATTGTCAAAAGGCATGGAAAAATTTTAGACCATACAGCCAAGTCGTTTTTGTATTTTGTTTACAATACTCTATGCTGATGTATAACATTGCAAAATTCTTAAGAGATTTCGACAGCAGCCTAACCCAACTAACAGGTGATGAAGATAATATCTCAAGGACTCTAAGTGGAAAAATAAATATTCTTATCACCTTCAAAACACATTTTTACAAGCTGGCTTTTTTCGAATGCTCACATTTTAACACACAAAATCACACTACTTTAACATACAAAAATCTATTCCGAACTATTATCTAAACGATGAAACAGGCGCAACAATTCGCCAGCACGGCGGTCAAGTTCTCGCCTTAACCACAAAACTATCCTATTCCTAGCGGAAGTTAATATTGCCAAAATTGACAAATCAATTTATTTATTAATGCTTAAAAAATGTTGCTCTACTGTATTTTTATTAATTTACTATAATAAATGTTTTAGTCTTAATCAGTATTACCTATAATAAATATTTTCGTCCTTCGTGCAACAACACTGAACGCATCGACTTCGACTGATAATGAAACTACGCAAATAAACAATGTCCTTATCTCAGTGTATAGTTTGAACTTTACTGATAAATAACTATTTAGGTAGTAGTTTAAAATTGTAGTAATGCACTACCCATTCATTGTTGATTAAAATATTTAGGTTAAGTGATAAGAGTGGTAAAGCATTGATAATTTGCTCTATCTGTTTTGCAATGGAAACCGTAAATTCGATTCCAAATCAGTAAGTAAAATTTGTATATAACCCTCATTTCCCCATTATAACAAAGTAGATACGTCATTTATTTTAAAATGTGTGCTTTACTGTTCCTTAATATGACAGATATATTTCGAAAAAGTTTAGAGTTATAATCACAAATTTGAGATTTCGAATGAATTACTGTACTCTAAACTTTTCATGCTAACATTAACATTTCAATTAATGAGAGAAATCTTCTGCTCACCAGATGTCGCTAGTTGATACTGAGGTGAAGATTTGTGTCACACGATATCGTTTAATAGAGAAGTTAGTTCTAAATAAAAGTTTATCAGTTTTTAGATTATTATACTGGATGGCTATTCTACGATCTGGAGAAAAATAGCGTGTAACAGGTGAACGGAGTAGAGTAGTAGTCGTCGAAAAGATCAGAACAATGTCTGCCTGGCAAGCTAGTATAGTATAATTTTGTAAATATCAATCAGTGTAGATTGTAAATAAGTTGATTTCGATCTTTAAAATACGCAAAGATGTTGCAGCATAAGGTATGCATAAAAAATATTATTAGAAATTGTTTATCAATTCATTATAATGTAAGATAAAATTTAACATGTAATTCTACTCAATACAAGACATATTAGATGGTCCTATACCGGTACAAGTATGGAAGAAGGATCTAAATCACAAAATACATAGATAAGGAAAGGTAATTTACCTACTTACCATTTTCTGTTTCACATATTTTGGCTATTTACGACACGCGATTATATTGCGACACGCGGTGGCATTATTAATGAAAGAGTGGCAATGAGAAGTGCTGCTATTTGAAATCTTTCTTTTATCGACCAAGTATTTTACTAAAACCAGTATATGCTGATCTTGCATTAGTAGGCAGTAACTAGTACTAGGACGTCTACTTACATTGAACGTTTTAAGGTTATTGACATTATACGCGAAAAAACCACTACCAACCAACAGCTTTACGAGATTACCGAGGCATGGGGGTGAGACACCACCAACTTTCTGACTACGGGCATGGGGAGCTACTGAGAATTTCTTGACGTAAGAACTCAATAAATTGATTTTTTTGTCTGCTTTGCTGTCACACTACTACAACCCCTAGACCAACGAGGCAGTCAAAATCAAAAATAAATATCAAAAGTGCTTAAATACTTATAAGAGAAAAATAATTTTTGGTAACTGAAGTCGCGGGTCAGCTGTTTCTAAAAATGTTGTCTGCAACGATGTGTCTGCATAACGTTACAAAATTCCCACATGTGGTTCATATAATTTATTATTCTAAGAGGCAGCACTGCAACCTCTATTAAACAAAGATTTTTTTCTACTTTATTAACTGGCTTCACGGCTCTGGTTTCTAGACCTTCTGAGCCTATCCTGTCTTTTGGATCTCATCTTCTTCATCATATTCATTTTATGTTCTTTTTCTGGCCTGAAGTGGATTTTGATTTGTAAAAGTGATGTGATTTTGTGAAATAGGTATCCACGCGTGTGAACTATTAGAAAAAACGACGAAACAAGTGCTTTGATGTCGATATAAACTTCAAGTTATTTTGATCGCATGGGCGCCTTATGTACTTGAGTGGCTGTCGTCATCAACTGTCCGCTAGGTTGAGCTGTCGTCAAAATCTCCCAATGGCTTCGCAATGTGACGCATCAGCATATTGTGAAGAAAAAATATAATAATGAAGATTCAGAAAAAAATTATAGGCTCAGAAGGGCTAGAATCCAGAGCCGTAAAGCCAGTTAATAAAAAAAAACTGGTTAAAACCTTGACTAAATATGTCATTTTTGTTTTCGGTTTTCTGATAATTTATCGCTACGTTTATTAAGACAAGGTCTAACTTTAATCCAAATTATATTTTATTTATATACGGGAGAGCTTAATCTTAGAGTAAGTACAAGCATATGGGAGTCTAATCTAACCCGTACATAATATTTATCTAATCTGTTATCATGGCCTGTTGTTGATAATTTTTTAATATGTTTGTATTGTTTACTATACAGATGTGACTAGAATTTATACTATTCGTTATTTAGGTCTGATTTTTGACTCAAAATTGTTATTTAATGAACATATCAGTATTAGCAAAAAGTAAAAGCAAAGGGTTGAAAGCGCTTGGAATGTCTCCTGACTTTAACTCTATTAAAATCTTCAAAGTTCGTTACTATGCTTTCGTACAAAGTTAAATAAAATATGGATTTCCAATATGAAACCCTACTTAAAATATTTATTCTATGCATAGGCATTCAATGGATTCAGAAAAAACTTCTTCGCTATCTTTAATTTAGCGTTTAGATCTTTCTTCCAAATTATAAAACACGGTGCCGAAAGTTTAAAATTTTGCAGTTATGAGAAAGAAGGCGACGATGACGATGAGACGAAAGAACTAGGATATTTTTAATTACCTCCAAAAAATATTTCTTTTTAAAAAAAATCATTATGTGTACTTAGAGGCAGCTTACAAACATAAATTGCAAAAAAAGACACATCCAGACCCAGAACAAATATTTGTAGGCCAAGGAGGATTCGAACCCACGGCCCCAAGCACGGACACTCATTGCAAAGCCACAGCACCACAGAGCTGTATAAAAAAAATTTAATTAATTAATTCCATCACTAAAATAGTTTTGTAAAGTAATTGTTTTTTTTTTTGTTAAAAGATTTGTAAGTGCCAATGTAAATTATGATGAAGGAGTAGAAGAAGTGGATGTCTCTGAAAATGTTCTTGTGGATTCAATGACTACCATGGCTCTTACTCCTGACCTTATTGTGTAAGTTCACTTAATATTTTTATCAAACTAAATGTATGGATACTTATAATATATGAATATATATTAAAGTAAACTCTCATATACACACTAAATTTCAGTTTGAGAATATATAAAGTTTTACAAAAACGAAAAAAATTGTTTATCAGAAAATTAGAAGTACCTAATAGTAATAAGGTTATTAGTGAAAACTTATGTGTATTCAAAATACTTTATTTAAAAAATTGACATATAACATGAGCTTTTAAGGCATGCACATTTGGATTTACTAAAAATTTTTTTGGCATGTACTGGGGATAAGGCATTTTATGTTAGTCCTGAGGGGTGGCAAAGCATCTACCTAGGCTGCACTAAAAGTATAGGAATGGAATATTTCCACTGTTCCTGTCATATTAAAATCTTTTTAATTGAAAACTCCTTGGTTTTAAAAATCGAATACCATTTATTTATTTAAAAAAAAGATTCTAGGTCTTGTCACAAGGTTTTGTCAAACTTGTTTAGTTGTTGAGAAAATGGAATTGACTCGAGAAAATTCAAGAGCAATGATTTATTATGACTTTCGAAGTGGTTTAACACAAAAAAAGTGTGTTGACCGGATGATTTCTGCATTTGGTGATGAAGCCCCGTCCAAAACTACAATTATCGCTGGTTTGATGAATTTCAATGTATACGTGTCAAGCTCAGTGATGATCCCCGTCAAGGTCGTCCAAAAACTGCAGTCACCCAAGAAAACGTTGATGCTGTGTGTAAGCTGATTGAGAAGATCGACATGTGACATACCGCGAAATTCAGGCAACTTTAGATATTGGCATGAGTCAAATGAGTACAAATAATCTTGCGTGAACAATTAGGTGTAAAAAAGTTGTTTTCCCGATGGATACCGCATTTGCTTTGTGAAGAGCAAAAGTGCGTCAGAACTCTCGAAAGATTCCTCGCAGGATCCTCAAATACCTCTGTATACAACATCATATCAGGTGACGAATCCTGGATATATGTGTACGAACCCGAAACAAAAAACCAGTTACTCGAGTTTGGGTGTTCGAAAATGAGTTAAAACCAACAAAAATTGTTCATTTACTGAGTGTTGCAAAAAAAATGGTGGCCACGTTTGTCTCCAAAACCGGCCATGTTACGGCTATTCCTCTTGAGGGACAAAGGACGGTTAATGCAGAATGGTATGCTAGCATTTGTTTGCACAGGTCGTTTCTGAACTCCGTAAAGAGAACTGCAACTGCCGCATCATCCTCCATCATGACATTGCGAGTTCTCACACAGAACAAAAGAGTTTTTAGAGCAAGAAAACATAGAATTATTAGACCATCCGCCATACAGCCCCGACCTAAGCCCTAATGATTTCTATACTTTCCCTAAAATAAAGAATAAATTGCGTGGACAGAGATTTTCATCACCTGAAGAAGCTGTGGACGCCTAAAAACGGCCATTTTGGAGACCCCAACTTCCGAATGAAATGGTTGCTTCAATGATTGGTTCTATCGTATGGAAAAATATGTCAAATTTCGCGGAGAATATTTCGAAAATCAATAAATACATTTTTAAATAGTAATGTTGTGTCACTTCCTTGATTCCCGAAATTTTCAGTGCCACCCTCGTACATAATATGATTCTTGATTGCAATGTATATGTCTATCTATAGATGTCAACAGTATTCATTTACCATATGTTGAACAGTGTGCTTGTTTATTACACTTATTTCTCTAAAAACACCTACAGGTTCTCAATTCAAATATACTTTTTTATGTGTGTTACAACATAACTTTTTTCTAGGTGAACCGATTTAAATTGTTATTTTTTATAGGAAAGTTGGTGCTTCTTATGTAGTCTCATATAAATTTGATAAAGATCTGAACAGTAGTTTTTGAGTTATCCTTAATAAGGCATATTTAATTGACTTCGAATACCTTGATGATGTTCTCATTTTATTTATATTGGAGTCAGTGGAACAAAATTTTTAATTTTGCAATTTCTTTATATATTTCAATTTTATGTCTCAATTTAAGTATGAGAAAAGACAGGAAAATAAAAATAATGAAAAAACTAAAAGACAATCAAAAGAACAGGTGGAATGAAAAAATGCTCTTAAGGAGTTAAGGGACCATGGAAAGGAATGGATTCCTAGGCTTCAAAGGAACCAATCCAGTTATGTAACAAAACATAACAAAATTAAGAAATGAGCTATGGAATACTACAGAGCTCTCTACTCTAATATAGACGAAGACCATGAATTAGAAACTAACAAGTCACCAACAATAATGTATATAAAAAATATATGCTGTATGGGGCGCATTTAAATAATAAAGACATGGGTTCCAATTAACTCTATGTACCATTTCAGATCGGCAGATGGATTCACTGATGATGAATCTAGACTGACCCTAGCATATGAAAACTTGTACGAAGTGCCGCGGACCATTGTCGAAAGGTTTTCAGACCACATCAAGTACCTCGACATCAGCCACAATAAAATTACGTGAGTAAACTGGTGCTATGAGGTTTATGTGATTTGTATACATATTACTGATGTAATATTAAATCAAACTCTTTTATATGTGGTAGAGCCACGCTGCAGCTAAATTATGGTTCTAGCAAGCATGGGTGGACCCAATTGGGGTAGTACTACACTCTCACAGAATATCAAGGTAAAATAGCAGCTTAATGGTGCTATGTTTCGTATGGTGAGTGTAGAGAACCAGCAACCTTTTTTACTGGAAACAAGGCATTCTATCTAAGTCCTCAGGAAGGACAATGCATCTGCATTTTGAATTTAATATATATATACATATATATATATATATATATATATATATATATATATATATATATATTATATGTACATAATACATAAGGCATAAACACCCACGATGTCACCTAGAAGGTAGGCAGAGACTACAGACTTCCATTTGTAACAAACCTGACACACATCTCTTGCCGCCTCCACATCCATATACTACGCATACACTATTCTTAACCGACATGCTTGTCGGTTAAGAGTACTCCTAATTTGGCCCATTTTCAATATATCGCCAATTTGGTCGATAAACTTTTGCCTAGGACGTCCCTTTCCGACTCTGCCATTTACTTCTGCAACATAAAGGAGACAATCAATTTTTCTATGGATTTGTATGGGCCCATTGCAAATTTTAAAGATTATCAATGAAATACATGTCGATTTATTCCTTATAATCCATAGATTACAATAATATTATTAGTTTAACTGCATCTAAACGGATTCCTGAGAAATTAACAAATAAAATGTGAATCTAACAATAACCTAAAAACAAACTGAAAGCGATTTTCTAGTAGTATTCATCGGTTATAAGTTAAAATTATGCACATTTGAATAATAGTACATATAAAACTAAGCTGTAGGTATAACTGCCGACATAAGTCGTGAGCACACTTTTTATTGGTCGATACGACGTTGACCACGCTGACGTTCAACGTGATTGGTTCATCAGTCGATTCTCGTCGTCTATTGGTTTCGAACGTATCATTCGGCTTCCGTACACTTCAGAGCAATAATTTTAGTGATAACTTTTTTAATAAGTTTATTTTCGTTAATTGTTTTTGTGCTTGTTATTTCTTGTTTTTAATTATTTTTGTTGTTATAATTTGAGTGTTCAGATTTTGGTCTAAATATGCAGAGAAGGAAGAATTCGGTGTTAAATAGACGATCCCGACAAATTGTCTATTCAGTGTTTGGTTACATGAAAAAATTAGGTACTGCGAAAAACATCATAGACGTATATAAACAGACTGCTGAGGCGACTAATGTCTCAGTAGCTACTGTACGGCGCACCGCAACACCAGATTTTATGGAAGGCATATCACCTCTTCCTTCTTCTTAATAAAATAATCAATTCTAACCACCAGGTATACATTAAATACTTTATAGTAGATAATAAAATAACGGACATGAATATCTGCAACATTACTGTATCAAAGTAAAAGTTGATGTGTTTGAGTAAACATTTTCATAAAAGTCGCCGAAAATATTAAATTACGAATTGAAATAATAATGGTATCCAATAATTTTGCCCGACAGTGTACCTACCTCCAACCACAGTTTATCTGTGCTCACCACTCGTGTCGGCAACTATATATTCAGCATTTATAGATATTTTAAAATCGATGTAAAACCTTTCACTAGTTCCGGCAAAACATAGTGCCTGTCTATGCACAAGTGTCGTATGGATTCTATTTTTGACATGTATTGATTGATTGTGAGTGTAATTCTAAATACCAAGATGGCTAAGGGATAATGTCTATTTATATTTATGATATTACCAACACACAGTAAGAAATATGTTTTAAACTGGTTATATTACAAAAAACAAAATATAATGTTGGTAACTCTATTTATTCTTGTAAATAAATCATAATTTATTTAAGCATTCTATTAACAGTAGTAGGTACAGAAACAGAAACCTTTTATTCAATTTAGATTATAAATAATACTTATTGAAAGTCACTTTTTAATTTACCACTGGTTCGGAAAAAAACCTCTGACTTGAAGAGAACCAGCAAAATACCCAGTGGGTCTTTTAAAAAAAGCCAGATTACAATCATTTATGTCATAATTAACAACACAGAACAAATTAGAAATAGCTTGGTGGCGATCACCTTACCCACGGGTTATAAATTTTTTGAACTTTGATGATTGACTGACATATATAGACAGAAGCGCTGTTAAGACTATGTTTTAATATGTTTTGGTTGATTAGTAAGTAGTATACATTATAATAAAATGTCTGGGAATTAACATGCTTATCTATGTTATTACACAATGATAAATAGTGAGGAAGTAAGATGTTTTAAACTGTTTGTGTAAGGATTACAAAAACACAGGCATAGTTTAAATGTATTTATTACTAGCGATGCGCCTCAGCTGCAGCACTGGTGACTTATGGATCTCGACAACAGTGCCATCTACCGGGTCCAAATGTAAATATGAACTATCTAGGGATCCATCCAAACACGCACAAACATTTTCATTGAAATTGGTTGGATTGTTTCTTATGTTTTGTCTATAATGGACATAGGTAGAAACATTTTAATGTTAGATATATTTCTGAAGGTTTTTTGAAAATAAAGAACATGTACATTTATGATATTGTAAGCAATCAGAAGGCATTTTCAATTATAAAAGATATGATATAGGTAAGACTGTTGTCATCCATATACATACACTTTTTGTTTCTGCAAGCTTTCGGCCTGCAAGGCATACAGATTTGTTCTAAGCGATCCACCTGAAAAGAAGTTAATGACAATTATAAAGGTGTCTTATTTTTTTTATTAAGTACAACAAACAGTTGTGTAATAAAAATTACAATTCAAATCTTACGTAAATAGATAAACTAATTACACAACCAACACCGTTATCCACAAAACTACCGAAAAAAAAAAACAGTTTAGATTAATGTTATAAGGTTATAAGAAATTAGTAATAAAGGTAGAAATAAAAATTACAAGTCATTTAATACAAGTTTTATAGCTTTCCTAAATTGAGGTAGGGACATTGTAAATAAGTCTACATCGGAGAAGCTGTTGTTATAAAGTTCCATTATACGACGCAAAGGCGCACACTTGCCCGCATTTGTTTTGCACAGATTAAGGAAAATAAAACGATGCGCGTGATTGTTTCGTATTCTTTGTGAGCGACTTGGTACACGAAGGTATATACAATTGACAAATTGAGAGCAATCGAAAAAGTTACGACAAATTTTGTAAAGAAAAGTACAATCAAGTAGTAATCGCCTATTACTTAAAGTTGTTAAATAGTATTTATGCAAGAGGTTATCATAAGAGGACCAAGAACAGTAACATCTGTAGTTTACAGAGCGTAGAAATTTAGCTTAAACCGATTCTTTGATAGAAGGGATTCCAAACTTGTGTGGCATACTCCAATTGGGGTCTTATAAGAGATTTATAGAGCAGTATATAAGTGCCAGATTTTTTTAATGGCTTACAAGTTCTCATGACAAAACCGTAAAGCTGAAAGGCTTTGTTGATAATGTGGTTAATGTGGTAATCAAAATGAAGCTTTGAGTCAAAGAACACGCCAAGGTCTTTAATAAGCGAAACGTTTTCAAGAGGAGTATTACAAAGAGAATACGCGAATTTAATAATATTACTTTTTAGAGAAGGTGATAGTTTTACATTTAGGCAGGCTAAGAATTAGTTTATTTTCTAGACAGTAAGAAGATAAGCGATCGATGTCGTCTTGAAGTAGAATACAGTCATCAAATGTTTTTATACTACGAAAAATTTTTAGATCATCAGCATAGAGCAAGAAATGAGAATTTTTGAAACAAGTCGATATATCGTTTATAAAGATTAAGAACAGAAGAGGTCCTAATATTGAGCCCTGTGGCACACGAGACGAGAAATGACGAGAATCCATTAATGACCACATTTTGCGTCCTGTTTGTGACGTATGATGAAAACCATCGCAATAACTTTCCGCGTATACCGTTATAAGCAATTTTTCGAAGGAGAATTTCGTGATCCACTTTATCGAAAGCCTTGCAAAAGTCTGTATAAATTGAGTCGATTTGAAGCCGCTTGTCCATATTGTCCAACAGAAAATTAGCATATAAGACAAGATTACTTACAGTCGAACGGTTTTTGACAAAGCCATGCTGTTCAGGGATAATGATATTGTGTAAGTTTGGATAGATACAGTTACGGACTAACTTTTCCAAGACTTTCGATAAGGTGGACGGAAGCGAGATCGGGCGATAATTTGAAACAATATTTTTTGATCCGTTCTTAAAGACGGGTAATATTTGCTGCCTTCTAGACCTTTGGTACGTATCCCTCCCGTAGACTACGGTTGAAGATATGAAAGAGAGGAATGCTTATAGAGTCTGCAGTATGCTTAAAAAAGAACGGCGGTAGACCATCTGGTCCTGAACCATGAGCAACATCTAAGGATTTAAGTGTTCTGATTATAGTGTCTAATGAGAAGAATAGATCACTTAGAAAGATGCCATTAGTATTAGTACATGGCAAGGAGTCTAGGTTGACCAATGCTGCATCCCTTTTATAATAATAATAATAATAATAATAATAAAATATTTATTCATTGACCAAAAGTAATAAAATATTTAAAAGTTAAGCTAATACAAAAATGATATTTTTAAGACAATGAAAGTGTTCTGACTCAGCATGTGTTGCAGAGAATCTACTTAGAGAGCTAGAGTATAACAGTACGCGTACATCACTGATTATATTACAAATAGCTTTAAGTGTTAAATTATTTATTTATTAATTCAGCCAGTACAAGAACTATATAATTAACCAGTAGAAGTTATCATAATATTTCAATTAATAAATTCATAATTAATATACATGTACAAGAGATAAACATAATATAAACAAAATATAAACATAAACATGAAAAAAAAATAATATTAAAAATAAGAGCTACAGTAGTGTTTTATTTATTCAGACTAATTATAATAATTA